AAAAATAATTATGATTCCTCCACTGATATTGAACATGTAGATGTGACCGATGTACAACGTTTAAAATCAAAACATCGTAAGTATACTATACTATGTGAATTATATTTATGAAAACAATATTTATTTTCATTTAATTATAGAAAAGAATACCGAAAACAAGGGTGAAAATAGGCATGGTAATTCTTTTTTTTTTTAAAGTAATTTCAATTTTCATCTTTTAGTTGTAATATCTTATAATAAATTAAATTTTAAATACTATAGTTTCTTTTATAAGACGGTTACAAGCATTTACAAATTATTTGGGTGCAGATGAAGATAAAGATGACGAAGAAATTTCGGTGCAGGATGGTATTTTAATGTATTTTATAATATCAATTGCAAAGGAAATTTTAAACCGCTTAATTCACTTTGATTTATTGTTACAGATATATATATTATCCATTCACGAGATAGTTCACCTACTATTAATGATAATGACGAAACTGTACAAAAAAAGATTAATGAAATTGAGACTAGTAAGGAACACTATGAAACAATAGACGACGGCACTGATAATGAAGATAATTTCATCCCTTCCAACAAAGTCGTGAATGAACAAATTAAATCACAAAAATTTGCAGATGAACAGTTGGATGAGGAAATCAGAAGTTTATTGCAACTTGTTGGCGAGGTAATATATTTATCGTAGAAGAATATAAAATGAATATAATTTAATACTTACAATAAAATAGGCAATATTTAGACAATTTCAAAGGCAGGACTCTACATTATTTCAAGCCTCAGAAAATGCTATAATTCATAGTGAGACAAAATTAACTCAAAGTTTGGAAAAACAGTTTGAACGCAAGTACGATATTTTCAAAATTGTATGTTATATGATATTTGCAACTTCATATATTAAAAATATTCCGTCAAATGATAATTTTTCAGGCGTGAAGTATTGAATACATACAGGAGCAATTATACATTAATTGCATCGGAATCTCAACAAATGATGAACAAATTGAAAGAAGGAAGAAATGATCTAGAAACTTTGGAACAGACCTTGATTGATATGGAAAAAATGGAGTTAGACTTTGGAATAAATATCGAATGTAATTTGTAAAGTTATTGAATTAAATTCATTAGTTAATCGCTTTTAAGTTATGTAAATAAAGAAATGCAATATATACAAAATCATGAACTTTTAAACAATTTACACAATGAACGTTTAACATCTTTTTATTTTGTGCAGTTACCGTAAATTATCATATACAAGATCCCCCAAATAGTAGATCCACCATGAATTAGACCCGGATGCAAACCACAAAATCTACAATTTTTTCAAATAGCTAGACTGCCTATTATAAATACAAAGCGTGTATGCATATAAATTTTTATCTTTTCATGATATAACCTCCCAGCATGTATTAGACCTGGGTCTACTATATGGTTTAAAAATTGGTGGAATGTAACAGACCCGGGTCTTGTATACGGTAATTTACGGTATTTTCGTATTTTAATTAAAGTATTTAGGAATTTTCTAACATTAATATTCATTGTTTAGTGCTTAGCCGCATTTTAGTTAATTTATTCAAAACATACCAAAGTTTATTGTTAAGATCATTATTCCATGGGTATTATGTAACAACACGTATTTTTTTGACAAGGTTATTTTTATCGGTCTATATGAAAATCACATGATTTTCATATAGACCGATGCAAAAATAACCTTGTTATAAATACTTAATAATTTACCGTTAAATATTGTGCCAAAAAATGATAAGTTTTTTTTTTCTTTTATTAAAAAAGCATTTTTTCATGTATTTATTTAATTATTCAAATAAAGAAATTTCATTTTCAATAAAAAAAAATACATATTTAAAAATGATAGTGAAAATGATAATGAATTTCTTTAATTTCTTTGTCATTATCATAATATTCTTAATATCTTGGTAAGTTAAAGGTGAAAAACGATTTGAGAGATCGTTTAATGGTGGTCTTTGTTGAGCTTATAAGTTTGATTGGGTTAATAGTGTTGGAGAAGGCCGGGGAAGACATGATAGTTTTTTTAATAATAGAAGAGGCATAGGTAGGTTGATCATTCGATATCTTATAAGGAGGCTTAAATGGTGCATATAGTTTGGACTTTGATTTATGGGATGTTCTTTGAGCTAGTCTTTGAGATAGTGATCTTTTGGATGGTTCTGAAAATAATCTTTTGGATGGTTCTGAAAATAATCTTTTGGATAGTTTCGAAGTGATCTTTGGGATAGTTCCGAAAATGATCTTTGGGATGGTTTTGAAGATGATCTTTGGAATGGTTCCAAAGAAGATTTTTGAGAAGGTTCCAACAATGATCTTTGGGATGATTCCAATGATGATCTATGGGATGGTTTCAATAATAGTCTTTGGGATAGTTTCGGTGATTTTTGTTCTAGGAATTAGTATAGTAAATAGTTGATAAATGTGAAAAAAAAAATTTTTAATAAAAAAAAAAAAAAAATTTTGCGAATAAATATAAATATTTTCATCATAATCATCATCTGCCTCAAAATTCATATAGTTTTGAGCATCTTCAGGAAAATAGCCAAATTCTTTATACAGAATGTCATCGAAATCTAGTAGAATTAGCATTAATATATTCTGAAACCTTTGTTTATTATTTGGGTACAGTAGACCTGAATTCCTTTCCTACTATAGTAATCAAAAAATACCATATATTTGTTCTCAGGAATATTCAAATCTTTGAGCCATTGGATTGCAATATGCCTTAATAAGTAATTACAGATCTTATGGCCATTTTCAAGATTTATTCTAGTTAGTTTTGCTATTTTCAATATCATAGTGTTTAATTTATTAGTTCCTATATGGGAATTTTTGAACCAGATACCCTTCATTATATCTATAAGTAAAAAAAAAATCAATAATGAATAATATAACCAAACAAAACAAGAAACAAACACTTTAAACCTTTTGCTGCCCATGTTGTTTTTAAAAAAAAAGATTCACAAGCATCTACAAGATGAAAAGATATCAAATACAAGATATTATCAATTGGTTTAAAGTGATTATTTGCTTGATTAGTAGAAATAGAGATCTTTTATACAAAACTCTTTCTATATTTATTACATTTCAGTGCTCTATGCTAATTGTTCTTTTCATGGTTGAAGGTAAGATAAAGTCTACCATCATCATAATAAGAAATGTCTTTAAACTTAATTCTTTTAGTATCACCACTACAAAGGCTACAAAGAAGTGACAACTAAAAGAAAACTCGTCATATTAAACCTTTATTGATATCAACTTGTATTGTTTTATGACTTAATATCTAAGAAATTTCTTCTACACTTAATGGTAAGGCTTGATCTGTTTTACCCAAACCTTCATTTTGCAATTTCTTTATTTTGCTATCAAGTATCCTTAACACCTTACTAAAATGATACAAATCCCATAACTTATATAGATTGATCTTACTATGTTCTTTTAAGTAACAGGCTATAGAAGTATAGTAGTTATAAATACTTTCTGCTTTATAATTCTTTCTATCTATTCTCTTTAACCAGATAAGAAACCTGCACAAAAAGTTATCTAATTCTATTAGTAACTCTATTTTATCAATCTTTTTTTTATATTTTATGATCTCACAAAATTTGGCAACAGAACATAACTACTTGAAGATACACTTATCTGTGTTCTTCACTTTGTAATTCAAGAATTTCTGCTTTGGTTAGTGCAACATTACTGTTTCTTGTGCTTAATTTTTTTTTTTTTTTTTTTTTTTTTTTTTTTTTTTTTTTTTAAAAAAAAAAACCAAATGTTGTGAACATAACTCCATGGAAAGTAAAAAAAAAAATAATAAAAAAATTTTAAAAAAGTTAAAACATGTTTTCTACACTTGCTTCGAGTTCATCTTCACTTGAAATAATTGCTAACGATGAGAAAGAATATGAAATAATTGCTGACGATAAAGAAGAATATGTACCACTTCTGAAATTTCATCAGCATTCCTTAGACAACCTAGAATCTGATAATGAAAATGAGGATGAGGATGCTGATGTGAATGAAAATGAGGATATTATGAAAACAAACGTGGATAATACCCCAAAAAAGAAACATAAATTATCAGGAGCAGCACAACAAAAGTTGCTGCCACCACCTGCAGACTTTGAACCATTTACTCACCCCAAACCACTGCATAGAGTATTTGTTTGATTACTATCACACCTTGATGAAGGTGTCTCTAAACCAATAGATTTTTTTTTACACAAAACATGCTTGACATAATTGTTGCTAATACAAACTTTTATGCATTAATAAAAGATGCTGGTAGTATTAGTAAACAGTGGCTAGACTTGACCTATAAAGAGCTTTTCATTTGGATTGCTCTTGTTATTTATCAGGAACTCTTTAAATTACTAACTCTTAATTTATATTAGAATTAGAATGCAAAACTTTCTATTAACAATATTTTTAAACAAATGCCTCTTAAATGTTTTGAACAAATTAAGTGATATTTGCATGTTTCTTCCCCTGATGCAACAGTTAAAAATTATTTTGAGAAACTGGAGTCATTATTTCACATATCTAGAACATCTCAAAGCAGCTCTACATACCTAATTCAAATTTCAGTAAACGAAATGATGGTTCAATTTTTCTGAAAGAAGTATTCATACTATTCTAATTAAAAACAAACCAATTCCAGAAGGTTTTAAAATTTTATTACTTTGTGATACTGGATATACCTTTATCTTTCTTCCAATATCATGTGTTTCTTCTCCAAGTGATGTAATAAAGGTAAGTAGTGTTAATCAAACAGGATGTTTAGTTTGCCATCTTGTAGAACAACTTCCATACTGTCAATTTTCTTTTAATATATATATGAACAATTATTTTATGAGCATTCCTCTTTTTCAATATCTTTGAAAAATTAGCATTGGTGTCTGTAGAACTATTTAAAAAAACTTTTTTGGGTTTTCCAAAAATATTAAAAGTGGACAAAGGTGTTAAACTCAATTGGAAAGTTTGTTCTGGTGTTGTAATGAATAATGCATTGGCTGTTTTATGCAGAATAATGGGCCAGTTACTATATTGATGACAATTCATGAGCTTGTTGGTAAAGAATGAAAAGTAGAAAGAAAAATATGAAGGCCAAGAAAAACAAGTACCAATACTGCCAAAGTACGTGCAGTGTTTAGTTCTGAATCAAGAAAAAATTAAAAATCCCAAAAATAATCAATGATTACAACAATAAAATGAATGGCATAGATATTGCAAACCAACTACAATCATATTACAGTTTATAACAAGTTGCATAACAAAATTGGATGCCTTTTTTTTTTAGTTGTTAGATACAGCAATTATTGTTGCAGATGATCATAAAATCTAGATCATTGTAAAATTCCAAATTTTAAAATTTTTTGGGGTATATTTTTTTAAGCTTTTTTTTTGAATCTGAACTAGTTTTAGGGTTAGGGTTTATAATAAAAGAGTATAAGTAGGTTTTGTTAGAGTTGTGAGGGCTTATATTTTTAAATTTAAGCTTTAGATTTCATGATGATCTGATTTCACCATAATCTGCAACAATTATTAATACATACAGAATTGCTCGAACTTTAAATTCAGATCAAAAATACAAAGAATATCACCTTGAACTTGTTTGGGACCTTATTAACTTCACAAATAATTCAGATGCTATTCAACTAAGAAATAATTTAGAACAAGAAACACGATGACCAAGAATAATCAAACATTTTGAACTCTCAGATCAATACTTTGTTCCTAAAAATCATTTTGCTATCTAGAAAAAAGATAACTGTGAGGCATATCGATAGTGTACATGGTTGGCAAGCAAAGATGAGTTGGACATGAGTCATAAATTACCATATCAAAGTAATCTTTGGTATACCTAGTATAATGTTCCTCTTTGCTACAATAACATCTAAAATTGCTTTTTAGAATTCTATATAGTTAAATAATACAAGGCTTAGATAGCCTCTTTAATAATTATGTGTGTTTTTAGTACGATGTGCATTTTAGAGGTTAAAAAGTTTTTAAAAAAAACTAAGAACATTTTTTTTTATTCTTTTTATTTATTCTATCTTTTTTTTTTTGCATAATAGTTTGTATATATGATATTTTTAATACTTATTGCTTGAATTATAATTACACAATTAAATTAATTTAAGCATGTAATTGTTAAGTTGCATAATTGACAAGTTACAAAAAATAAATAAATAAATTAAATAGCACTAATCTAATATGTAATATTTGCACAATAGTATCAAGCTCACAAAAGTTTGTTGATACACAGCACTATTTTTTGCACATTTTTATACATATTTAATATAACTTTAAGTTATTTTCTTTTTGAATCACATATAATACAGTACAATATATTGCACTGCAGCTAAAAAAGTTTTGTTTATTACTCAAGTTTTCAGAAGCCACTTTGTCAATTTGGATAAAAGTTCTATAAAAAAAAAATTTTTTTTGACTCAGTTTTTTACTAATTATTTTAGCATCTATATATAGGATATGTACAATATATAGTACATACTGTATACTAAAATTTTGGTCGATCACTTATTATAGCCAATCAGATGCCAGAAAAAGAACTATACATACAGCATTACAAAAATTTTGTATTCAAGTTTTCTTTGTAATATTTTTTTTATTGTTGTATTAGTATTTGTTACTGTATTTGTTAGTATAGTTGTATAGAGTGGCTGTATATAGAAGATCTGGGTTTGGAACCACAGATCCTAATCTAAGACAACAACACCAGGGTATAGGATTGATTTTTATTCATGTGATTTTCTGATGACAGTTAGCCAATTAAAAACTGAGATCAGGTATAATATAAAAAAAATTAAAATAAACATTTGCTTTGCAAAATTTATTTTTAGTTCTAACAAAAAATTTTTCTTATACAATTCTACTATATAATAGCTTTTAAACCCAAACTCTAACTTAAAACCTAACCCAAACTCTAACATAAATAAATTTTTTTATATTATGTCAGAAAATCATATAAACAGAAAATTGATTCTATACTCTGTAGTATAGTTGGTTTTCATTCTGATTAGCCAACCTTTGTAGTTTATTTCTTACTATAATATTGGAATTCATCCAATCAGGATCACAAATTTATATATATATAAAAGCATAAAGTGAAAATAATTAAGGCCTAAATTTTGATTTATACACTTTATATTTAACAAACTTTTTTTAATATTTTGTAAAGATCACTATATGAGATATTTAGAACTGAAGAAGCTTATTTTATTTATAGAGAAAGTTAAATTACTTTTAAAAATTGGCATAATTTTACATAAAAACTA